GTCCGACACGGCATTGGAGTGTCGTAATTTAAAAAATTAAAATTAAAATCGGACATGCGTGTCCGACACACGTGTTCGGTTATTAAATGATAAAATCGTCCGTTCTATTTAGCCTTTTCCGCGTGTTCGACATTCGGTATCGCTTAGTACATGCCCGGTACTGCTCAGTACATGCTCGGTACCGCTCAATATATGCTCGGTACCGCTTGGTACATGCTCGGTACTGGTAGGTACATGCTCAGTACCGCTCGGTACCGTTAGGCACATGCTTGGTACTACTAGGTACATGCTCGGTACCGCTCAGTACATGCTCGGTACCGCTCAATATATGCTCGGTACCACTTGGTACATGCTTGATACTGCTAGGTACATGCTCGGTACCATTAAGTACATGCTCGATATTGCTAGGTACATGCTCGGTACCGCTCAGTACATGCTCAGTACTGCTAGGTACATGCTCGGTACTGCTAGGTATATGCTTGGTACTGCTAGGTACATGCTCGGTACTCAGTTCATATGTATGATCGATTTGTTAGCAAAATGAGCTTTCCTGCTTGCAGGAGTGGATTAGGTGAATGTTCAAAAGAGTCATCTGTAGAAACTGATACGCCTTTATGGATTCATATTATAAAGTTAGGAAAAACCTTTAAAGGAGGAGAGAATGTGTCATTTAAATGCAATTATTGTGATGGCACCTACAAAGGATCTTATTCTAGGGTGAAGGCACATCTACTTAAAATTTTTAGCCATGGAATAAAAATGTGTACTAGACATTTTGTACTAAACATCTTTATGTTATAAGCTAAACAAATTATCATGAAATTGATTTATTATTGCTTGTCATTTTTACTATAATATCACCTTAATTTCTATATATTATATTAAAAAATTATTATGCCGTGTCCACGCCGCACCCGTGTCCTATATTTATAAAAATTGCCGGGTCCCGTGTCCGTGTCGCCGTGTCCGTGTCTGTGCATCATAGCCTATAACACTTGGTTCCAGAAGTGACTTTGGGAGTGTCACACTCGGGAATCTTACCTCTGAAATCAGGGCGAGGTTGAGCTGGGCTAGCAGTTGGTCGGTTAACTATAGAGCCTGTGGGTTTGTTTTGGGTTTGACTGGAGGAAGCTCTATATGGGGTTGGGCGGGAGTTTAACTGTTTGGTGTGGGAATGGGCCCTAGACTCCTCGAGGTGAAGCACAAGACTACAGGCTGCTTCTAAAGTATCAACTCTTCTCGCAAAAAGCTCATTTTGGAGATCTTCCCTAAGGCCAGCTCTAAACATGGATAGGAGTTGAACAGGGTAGTGGATTCCTCGCTGTTACAACGAATCATGAAATCATCAAAGGCGGATCTTTCACGGGTTTGCTTCCATGAGTCAGTCTATTCCATTTATCTAAGAGCTTAGGATAGTAAGACGGAGGGAGGTACTTCTGCTTGAGCTTTTGTTTCATAGTTTGCCAGTCAATGATGGGGTGCTCACCTCGGGCTTCGCGCATGTTCTCAAGGTTCGTCCAATACTGGCTAGCTCGACCTATAAGCTTCATCTCGGCAAACCTAACTTTCCTAGCTTCCGAGATGCTATACCATTTGAAAGAACTATCCATCCCTTTGAGCCAATTCAAAAACACTTAAGGGTCGAGGGTACCATCGTAGGAAGGGGCATCTATTCGAATGTTCTTAAGCAACTTAGCATCGTTATCTCTCCAAGGAGTTTCATGTCCTACGGGGTCCGTATTGGGTCTAAGGTTATGGCGATAGTGACCCTGCGGTGGCCCATAATTAGTCCGGTTTCATCACCATAAGGTGAATGTGGCCTAGAAGGTGTGTAAATCGCGAGGTGTCCTGGCCACTCAATGTTATCAAGTTGCTCACCTGTTTGGCATCTAAAGTTGGCTAAGTCGGTTTGGGTGTTCCTAATTTGCTGAGTAACCATCCCAAGTTGGCCCACGATGAGGTCTAGAGTCGCTTGAATGTGCTCCGGATCAATGGGTAGAAGTTAGGGGATGCTAGGGGAGGCAAAGGGATTAAGGACAACACCTAGACACTATAGTTATATGCTCCTAATGCCTCTAAATGATGTAGTTTTTGTGTGGACAGCAAACTACAGCAATTGGTGAACTTGCCTAGGTGTATAGGATGGGTTTTAGGAAGTGGACAGCACCTAAACACTAGGTTGGGGGTCACCTAAAGCTCTCTAAACGCTGCAAAAAATTTCTGGACAGAAAATAAACACTACAAGTTGAATTATCTAAACAAATGTAGGCATGCAAACAAGCATATGGTTGGTTACGTAAACTCCTAGGATGTTTTCTAGCATGTGTTACCTATGCCTATCATGCTCTGATACCAAATATGATGTGAAACAATGAGATGAAACAAGAATTGCATATACGAAATTGATAAATTATGAACTTTGCTCGGCTAAGCATAAATGGGTGTGTATTCAAGTTAGATCTTCGAAACAATTCATGGAAGGCTAAGTAATGACAAGTTATTACAATAAAGATTAATAGGAAGCTTGCAAAATAACATCATCAAATAAAGAGTAGAGCGAATGGCGCGTAACAAAATCCACAGTTTAAAATCTAGATCATTCACCTCGAGATCCCTCACTTACACTCTTGATATTGCTCGGCTAAGCGGAGGAAGATTGCAAACAAGCTTAGGGATGCCACTAGTAGACACGTGATGCCAAGGGGGCTAGTCGCCGAGGAGGAGCCGGAGTTGGAGGCACGGGTAGTCGTCCGATGATCATCCACTCTTCAATAAGTCGTTGCTCGTCGAGGATGTCCGCCAAGTGACATCGATCTCCCCGCGAGAATTGAGAATAAGTCTGTGATCAACTTCCAGATCCGCCATTCATGATCAAGAACGGAATTGATATGTAGCAATGGAGTAAAGGTGGAGGAGCTGCCACTTAGGGGAGTTGGCCAAGAGGAGGGGTTTGGGTGAGATCTCGGGTGGGAGGAGGTGGAGAGGGGACGGGGCGGCTAGGTCTAGGTTAGGGTTTGGAGAAATTAACAAAAATCTGAAATTAATTTCATATTAAGTGAAATTGGAGGTAAAATATTTGGGTTTTGAATTTCAAATTCCAAATGGGGATGGGGGATTTAAGAGGGAAAACCAAAATTTGAATCCCCTTATAGGCCGGCAGCATTAAGAGAGGAGGGAGGGGATTGGGGAGGGAGAAAGGGTTTCCTAATCCGTCTCGGCAAATTATGGATGAGGAATTCAAATCCAATTTAATTTAAAATTAAATTGAATCGCATTGGAAACTTTCCTAATTTGGTTTTTGTCAAATTTGAAAACTTTGGAGCTCACTTTGAATTTCAAATTTTAAATTAAGTGGAAGGGGGCCGGCGGTTGATGGAAGAGATGGTGGAGGAGGGGAGGCCGGCGGCTAGGTGGTTGGCCGTCGGGTGGGGCGCCCAAGGAGGCCGGCGGGATGGGGGAAGGGGCTCGGGTTTTGGAAAAAAAAAAGGTGCTTTGGTTAGGGAAGGCCGGTGGGTGGCTAATTGGGGAAGAATTGTAAGTTGGGTAAGAAAAGAGATGGGCCGCGAACCTTGGAATCCACCAACGGTTGACGTGTCACTTAGAGATCAAACAAAGAACATAAAATTTCATTTGATAATTATCATCCAATACAAAGCTAAGAGACCTTAATATATAGGCCTCAATGAAAGAAAAGCAGAAAGACACAAATGCCCTCGGGGCTACAATAACGACTCACTACCCATAGGGGCAAACTAGGGAAATAGAAATAGAAAATAAATAAAATACAAAATATATCAAAAGTACAGGCTCTGGATCGTAGCCGTCGAAATCTTGGACCGATGTCCTCATCAAATTTAATCCAAAGAAAGCACATCTAATAGGCAAACCAATTATGCAGCAAATATCAAAACTGAAATTATATGAAAATTATCAGAAAAGAGGCACATCCTGTGCCCAACAAGAACAAGGAACTCAAGGTCTACTATTCTTTCAAATGAAACAAAAGCACATTCTCATCTTGAAATTTCATGAATTTCGCACACTACTATATTATATTATGTAAATTATGATGAATGGTCTTGATTTATCAATTATAAACTGCAACAACGAAAATTAATCCAAAATAACTCTCCTTCAAAAAATAAATCATCCATATAGGAGAATAGTAATACATCTTTGTATTCTATTTCATCGAGTACAGATTTACTCGGTGAATTAAAACAAAAGCTCTGCAACTACAAATATGCTTTATTTTCTGTCAGATCTATCACAAATATGTGTCAGCAAATTTCGAACAAACTCAAGGAAAGAAAAGTGAGTAATGTGAATATCATTAACTATCCGAAAAAAGTTTTAAAAAGGCATTGGAAAAATGCTGATAGCAATAATGGTGCTGATGAAGACAATAATAATATGGATAAAGCTTAACTAATTAAATCAATAAAGTAGTATAATAAATCAATCTCATGATAGTGGCATTGATCATCACTAGCTAAACATATGGTGACAGTCCAATGGATAATCCCCCCACTTTTGGTAAAATTACTCTCTTTTGTCTCTGTTTTCTACTAAAAACTACTCACACAGCTTCGTTTTCAAAGAGGAATGTTCCTATAGACATTTCAAATGCTAGGAAGCTAGATTTCCAGCATTTGAAACACTAGATGTGATTTTCTGAAAAAATATTACTAAAATCTGAAGGCCCCTACACATTTTAGGGTTCATTTGGATGCTATTAGATAAGAAAATCAGATAGAATATCATGATTTCGTTCTTACATAAATAATGTGTGAAATTGAAAATCACTATATTTGAGAGGATTTTGAGAGTATTTGTGGAGCTCAAAATCAATTTGGATATCTAATTACACATAACCAAATGATGGGTAATTTTATCACTTTTCAAGATGTGTTTTCTTACTTCAAGCAACGAATAGGGCCTTATAAGCACAGCAGCACGGACAAATCAGAAACACAACAGAAACCAAATTTCTCACATACATCTTCATCAATGTAAGCTTGCAGCACAGCGATAAGTCCCCCTTCAAGGCATCGATAAACAGTTACCTGCAGGAAACCACATTCAGCAAAAAAAAAAAATTTCGGGCAAAAGTAGACGCATTTACGTAATAGCGACCACACCCTAATGTAAAGATCTTCAACATAAACCCAAAATAGCACAATTTGTATGTTTCGTGACGAGGAATCCTTTGAAAATCAACAAAATCTCATCTTTTGATTCCTTTGATATATCATTATTAAATATTTCAAGAACGAGCTAAAAATTTTTAGGGGATGGATTAAGATTTATGGAGATGGGAATGCCTACTCGATTACCGCCGACGGTGGCGAAGACGTCGTAGTATCGCGCGTCGACGAAGTTGAAGGCGATGGCGTAAAGGGGGCGCTTGCCCTCGTGGAGTCGGTTGCTGACTCGGTACTCCCTCTTCTTCGACGGCGTCAACGAACCTATTGCAGGCTCGCAGCCCAGACCGGTCTTCGCCATAGATTACCCACTCCCCCCTACTTCTCTTTCGCCGTATACGTTGCTCGTTCTTCGCAGTTCTTACTTTCAGCCCGCGACCCTTTGCCCTCTTGAGAAGTTCTCTCCAACTGGCAACATAATTCGCTCTACGATATTTAATTTTCTTTCAGGGAACTATGCAGCTCACTTTGATGGCACTTAAGCTAAATGCATCACACTATCTCTATCTTTTTTTTTTTTTATGAAATGCAAAAGTTGCATTAAAATAAAAGAGTAAACAAACTAATACAAATTAGGAAGTAAAAACTAATAGATCCTTGATCAATAGAAAAATGATCCTTATTGAAAGCATATTTGTTTAAATAAAACTTATTATTTTTGAAATGAAACCCACTGTTTCCTATCTTAAAACCGTTGAGATGCAGGGGATACCAAAGTTTTAAATAACCCAAGGGTTAGTTAGTATCCCAGAGTTCCCATCCAGTTAAAAAATAGGATTTAGTATTGATCCCATAATCAAATCTAATAAGTTTAAACGCCCCAAGATCTAACTTGGAAAGAATGTCAATCTATTTCTCAAACAATTTACCAGAGTTATCTAAAACCTTCAATTAAACAATCCATCAACATCTATATAAAATTTAAAACATCAATATACAAGTTGATTCATATCTCAAAAGGTCATGTACAATACTCAGGAACTACACTACAATCACCAGTACTGAAATCTATCCTGAGTACAAAAGAATCAAAATCATCAAAAGACAAAAACCTAAAAATCTGGATCAATTCCTATCTTCTGCTCCCTTGCCCTGACCTGAAAATATCAACCACATATAATGAGCTTTACAAAGCCCAGCAGGTCACCTAATACCTATAACTGAAATCAAAGCACGGCGATGCTATCAATATGCATGTCAGTCAATCAAATCAATATCAGTCAATGGTCAATGAGTCTATGCAGTGGAAATCAAATCAGTAGTCGATGCAATCCGAAAATCAATAGTCAATAAAACCAGTCAATGCAGCGGCAGACGATCGATAAATCAATTCAATAAATCCATGTCAATCTCGAAGAAATCCGTACATAATAGGAACTCAATCAATCCGTCAAATCAATCGCTATCAAATCAAATCAATGCGGCCTAATCAATACTATCTATTCAATGAAATCAAACGAGGAAAGCAGTACGATAAATCTCAATCTATTCTAACAGTGAATCCATGCAGCAGTCAATACGGTGCAGAAACAGTAACAACAATGAATCTATATGCAAGATCAATAAATCCATAGGCAGTAGTAACAATGAATCTATAAGCAGAAATCAATGAATCTATAGGCAACAGTGTCAATAATTCTATACTATTCATGTCCATGCTATCAATGCAATATCTATATCCATCCATTTCTATATCAATGCTCAATGTCGATGCACAGCAATCAATCAGTAAAATTAATGAAATCGTACGATCTAGTAAATCCAATCAAAGTCGATAAAGCAGGAATCTATAAAACAATGAATCCATAAAGCAATACAGTAAACATGCAATTCAATACTATATACTGGACAAGTATAATCAACTGGCTATGTTGCTGTTGTAGAATCCATATTGCTGTTGTAGATATCCATACATTGGTTCTATAATAAGAGTAGCCACTCTTTTCGCCCGTCGGCATTTCTATAAACTCCTTATGACTCCCAATCGTTATATCAATGATCAATGGTTTAAAGGAAAGCCCGTCGGCCCACCATCCTGTACAGGTATCAATATCAATCTCCAACCAATGTTCAACCAGGCTATACGTGTTTCCCAGTATCAATAATCAATCAATAATCAATTCAATAATCAATATTATGCAATCTATAACAATCATATCAATAATCAATAGCATATCAATCTAATCTATCAATTCCAGAAAATTCGGAAATCATACGAAAATCGGGCAGCGTAA